GGGGGGGGAAGATGCCGTGTGGGCGTGTGCGTCCCGAGACCAGCGAGAGAACGATCTGATATTGTTGATATTGTTGTAGTTATTGTAGTTGTTGTTGTCGTCGATGTTGTGTGGGAGCGCCGGCGAAAAGAAGGTGAATTATTTGGTGAAGAAGAAGAAGTTGGCAGAGTCGCGGGTCCAGGTTGGCTTAAGTTTTGGTTATCAGGTACGCAGGTACTCAGGACTTTGAGGGTGGGGCCTCTGGATGCTGGTGCGCGGCTACTGATTGGTTGGAAGGCGGGATGAGATGGTCCGAGCAAATCTGGCGCCAAGATCCGGGATCCCAGTTTGGTATTCTACGTGCCCGGTTTGTTTATTTCGTTTATTTTGTTGAGAAAGATAGGAGGACGAGGGGGGGGACGAGGGATAGGAGACGATGGACAGTGGACAGTGGACAGTGGACAGTGGACAGCCTGGATAGTTGCTTGGTACAGCAGTGGATTCTTCCAGTAATTTCCCGTCTTTCATCTTTCATCTTCCATCTTCCGTCTTCCGTCTTCCGTCTTCATTCCTCCATCATTCACGCTCGGGGGCGAGGGGATATTAAATATTTGATGATGGCGGCGGTAAATGAATTCCTTCCATTCCAAGCGTCGTGGGTAGAGGTACGAAGCATGTGGGAAAGAAAAACCGGCCTGATGTTGTCCTCGGATGAAGCCCAGGGGTTTGTACGTCACTATAAATAAATACTTCAACATGCGACCGACGCTGAACTCTCCCCACCCAATGTTTGAATATCTTGCCAGATCGATCTATTATTGGATAAAGCATCCAAAGAAGTATACCTACCTACCTTACCAGTACGCTTGTTTTAACCACCCTTTCCCTCCGTACACCATGAATGAGACTGGAAAAAGGTCACGGGGCTTCCAAATTCCGTCCGTACAGCAGTACAGTAGCAATTGTTGCAACCCGGCCACCCGCGACATCCCTTACGGACCTGTTTCACAATGTTAGCTAACGGCCTGTCACCGCTGCTGAAGCAGCTGCAGGTCCCCGTCCACAATTACAAAGTGGCTGGCGGCTGCGTCCACCTCTGTGGCTGGGTCACGTGTGGATCACACACAGATCGAGCAGCAACCACTACCAGGCCGAGCGTGCAGTATGTCCCCGTAACAGCGCGAGATCGGGAAACAGCGCAAGAGGCGTGTGTTTCGGTGGCTTCAAGCCGCAGAGTAGAGGAGTGCGGGCACGTGACGAGGATACAGCTCTCGGGGAAGCCGTCGTCAGTCGTCGTTGTTCTTTCCCAGCTGTATCCGGCCCCAGACCTCCTCCACACACACACTATCGTTGACTCTCGCCTCCCCAGAAACGACACGGCTTTTCTCCTTCCCCTTCCCTTCGGACGCTCCATCCTGCTTCACACCGTGCCAGATCAGGGCACACATATTTATATAGCCGGTAAGTAAGCAAGTCTCGACTCTCCACCAGCGTGCATACCCGACCGACTTCACTCCCGGGCAGGGCAGACTCGATCTGATGTGCAAAACGCCATGGGTGGAAGGAAGGGCAAGTGTAGCTCACTTACCCATGGAATCAGTTCCGAGTGGGCAGGGCATCGATGGGTGATGGGCTGCTGCTATGCGGTCGGTGCTGAACTTGAGCTTCGAGAGTAGATCTAGTACTGCGAAGACAGACGTGCAATACAATGGAGGAGAGAGAGAGCCCCGGCCTGGCTTGGTGGGGGGGAGGGACGACCAGAGGGTATTTCACGCATGCAGATCACATCTCGTCGGAAATGAATGACACCGCACAGAGAGAGGGCTTACCCTATTGGCGCAGGAGTCAGGAGTCAGGAAAACGTAGTAGGTAGGTTAGATGGCTCTGAGGTGGCTTACACCACCTCTCTGGTATTCTACAGTTGGAAGTCAAAAGTCACACCTCCTCCGTCTCTATTCTCCTCATATCGAGAAGGACAGAAAGGAAAAGCGAAAAGGTGAAAAGTCACGTAAGTAAATCAACGATTTTTCATTTGTCCTAGGACCAGACCGATGACGGCCGCAAACATCCTATCCTCCCTCCAGTGTCAAGTCTCGCCCTCACAACCTGAACGCCCCGGAAAATAAAGATATTCAGTGAAGATCGTCGGCCGGATCGTAAGAAGCCTTCTTTGGCGTGCTTTTGACCTTGCGCGCAACACCTCTCGTGTTGTGTTTCTTGGGCGTGGCCACGGCTTTCTTTGACTTTTTCTTCGCGGAGCCGAATTCCTCACCTGTAACAAGATAGTCAGCATTATTATTATTATTATTATTATTTTTAAAAAAAGAACAGGACATAGAGAGATAGTGTGTGTGTGTGTGAGAGAGATGAGGGGGGATGGAGTGGAGGCTTACCATCAGTTTGCTCATCTCCAGAGTCCAACTTTCGCTTGCCAGACTTAGACGGAGTCTCAAGCAGCAGAGACATTACACCCGAGACGGCATCCCCATCGCTATCCTCGGCCTTCTTGCCCTTCTTCGGCTTCTTGACCACCTTTTTAGCCTTGCGCTTGACGGGCTTGTTGGTCTTGGTACCAGCCTCGGTGTCTTCGGTGATCTTGCTGTGCGTCTCCTCGGCCTGGTCCTTGGCTGCGGCCGCGTCTGCTCCTGTCGTCGCAGTATCTCCCACCTGGAACGCTTGTGTCAGTATCTCTGTGAGTGTGCGGCGCCGGCGAATCTCATCTGCCCGTGCCATCTTGGTCGGAGGGCCCGACCAGTGTAGGTCGTAGTACTTACCTCCTGTCCTTCGCGTGCCTCGCGTTGAAGCATCTCTTCCTCGCCGTTACTGTCGTCGCTATCGCCTGTGACTCGAATTAGTTCCATGCTACAGATAGAGAGATCCCCGATGAAGATCTATGAGGAGATGAAGGACAATCAGGCCCGGCGCGTCTAGCCCAGCTTGGAGTCGTGATTGTTGGGACCGCCTTGTAGATAGATACAAGTGGAAGAAGGAAAGAGCTTACGAGATGCGTTCATGATTTGGCCCATCTTGTAGAGATGGTATCGTTCTGTTGTTGATTGGGGGATTGTTGGTTGTGGAGAGAAGGAACAGGTCGTCAAGTCGAGGCTCGAGGTAATTTATAGGAAGGGGCCTCCCCTCAGATCACCATTTCCACTAGCGCCGGCGCGACACGGCCGCTGCAACCTTGAATCACGTCGCCGCATCCTAAATAGGTTAGATTGGAATCTTCACTCACCCTCTAAGAGTTCAATGGCTGTTGATTTGCTGCCACTTGTAGCTCGGGAGCCTGAAGCTATCGTTCTATTTTGGGACGAGATTGCGAGGGGGTGCCTTCCTCTGCCACATTCGAGGGCTGCACTGGGTCAAGAGGGCAGCAAAGGGCCTTTAAAATCTAGATTGAATGTGGAAGCCCGTGTTATCTATTGTTCAATCGCAGCAGCTCTCTTCCAGGGTCAAAACAAATTGGCAGCCTGACACTTGAAAAGTACTCCGCTTTCACTATCCAATATCCCCCAGCCAACAAATACATGAGCCATCGCGGTCGAAATCGCATATGACAGTAGATTCAAACTAATTACTAAATTTTTGCCATCATACCTGTTAGGTGTCATCTTCATCTGGATGCTCGTGTTGTTGATATATGGGCTCGGCTAATCCAGCTCGGCTAATCCATTTCGGCTAATTATCCGACCTCGCTTGTCGAAAGGGGTTCAGGGGACAAAGCTACAACGGCAGATCAGTGAATTAACCTTAGAAGAGTAGCCCAAGGCTGATTCACCGAATCGAGTTAATTCAATAGCAGGGCTGAAATTTAAATTCCTGCTCATCAGACCCCAGGACAGAAACTTTACCAACAATTCTGAATAGGGCTGCATCTCAAGAAATATGAAAGATGCATAATACATGCTTTTGGAACAGAAACGGGTCTCTTTGTAATCATTTATAGCTACGCAGTAAGAAACCCTAGCAAAGCAAGCTGTGGAAAGAAAATGTCGTTCCACGTAGAGAGATTTCAATATCAGAGCATTTGAATGAGTTGAGCGCTCTAATACCAATTTCCGAAACAGATCATCCACCTTTCCTTCCTTCGACATGCCTACTGTTACTGTACAAATCCCCTCAGCTCCAAATTTTCAAGAAACTTGGAGAAGTCCGAAGAGCTCCTCATCCACTCGAAGCCGAGAATCCCAAAAAGCTATTGTTGGCAACACTGACTCTCCATAGGGACTCCGAAAGTGTACCAAGCGACCCCTCGGTATCCTCACTCACCATCACATCCGCTCCCCGCCAGCAAGTAGCAGATTCGAGATCTTCCGGTCGGAAAACATGATGTGGCATACGAGCAGGGCTGTGCTCCTTTTACCTCCCTCCAAGGCCATCCGCCCCCGTACAACAACCAGTCTCACACGGGTCTCGACTTCAGCGCGTGCCTGAACCTTGGCTACGAGCAAGAAAACCGCATTCACGATCGCGAAGAAGAAGCACAAGCATAACCGGGGTCAGGACACCGAAGGTCTGAAATTCACGACCCGGAAACGTGGATGGATGGATCACTGGGCTTCGCTCCCGTTTACTTCATCTGAACTCTCCAGAAAACCTTGGATCGCCTCCGACTCGGACGGTATAATCTGTGCGGAGAGATGGATGGGGATCTTCGACGCAGATATATATACATACGAGGAATTATATTACTTCCTCACAGCTTCCTTCGTATGCCAATCAGAGCAGCATCCGAGGAAAAGAAAAAGAAGAGAAGAGAAGAAAACAAAGAACCAAGACATATTGACCGCCATCAGCGGTACTTCCACCTCCTCCATACACAGACTCCAAGTCCAACGCTGCATCCCCCTCTCCTCACAACCAGATCACATAATCTGTTCCTCAATAATACCAATCAATACCCTGTATTGCTACGAAACGCAATTCGCCCTTTCTCCATCGCCGCTACTGCCCTCGCACTATGTAGCCTCCTCCAGCTTGACAGCATGCACGTACGAGACGGGCAACTACAACTTTCAGTCTGCTGATGCCGGGAACACCCTTTTCTTTCGGCAGCAGCAGCCTGCCGTGCCGGGAATCTGCCCCAGCGGAAAAGCAGAGGGCCTTGACGAGAAGACGACGAGACCCATCGAGGATTCGTGCAAGGGGAAGAAAGGCCGGCGATGGATGCACGTAGACTATACAGCGCTGCTAAAGCGAGTCCGGTGACGGCGTTGGGGAGTTGAAGGGACTTGGAAGCGGTGGGTGAGGGGGGGGGGGGGGGATCTTGGAGTTCGATAGACTGCAAGAAGGGCTGTCTGGAGTGCTGGGAGATATGGTGTTTCGTGTATAGAGAGCTTGGGAGTTGTATTGGAAAAGTAGAAGACCTGTCAATTCCACAGGCCACATAGGTGGATCCCTTGTCAGATCTGATATTGCTTGTCAGACCCGATCAGGCTTTCGATTTGAAAAATGAAACAAAAGAATATAAAGAGGGCTTTTACAATAGCACAAGTAGATTGTGGGAACTCAATAGAAAGATACCACTTTGCTTGAGCCCTAAACATAGGAAATAAAGCCATTCAAAGATCTCATCGACTCGTCAATCAATACGCATCGGCATCCCCCGAGGTCGCTGCCATATAGTACAACGCTGGAACTCCATTAACCATTATTTATCCACCAGAATCCGTATGATTTTACATCCTAGCTATCCCACATAGTCTCACTTAACGACAGTTGATGCTCATTCATGCCTCTCGTCGCAACCGTACTGGTGCCCCTCTCAGGACTATTCAGCTGTTCGCTGTAACATAGTTCCATCAACATCTTCAACTCCTCCAAGCTAAATAGCTCCTTAATCCCCTTTTCTTTGATCCCGGAATCTCTCTCGTCGTTGGCATGCTTGACAATAGCATCGGGGCCTGCGGTGAACAGGTCATAAAATTTGCATGCGCGGTCAAGATTGACATCTGCTTCGATATTCTTTAGATTCTGCTGGAGAACGAGAATGTTGAGCTGCATTCTCCCGCAACCGTTTGCATTCATGGCTTTCACCATGCTGGCGTTCGTCACGAGAAACGTGTCGATCAGGAGCCCGAGACCGGTGCGGATGAAGGAGATTTCCCTTTCGCGGAGGAAGTTGGTAATGGTTTCATCGTACGAGACGAGATCGGCGTTCAGAGCGAGGATGCGGGGATCGGGGTCATTGACAACTTGTTCGAGGAGGTAGGGTGCTGATTCTGGGGAGAGGGCGATGGCGAGGGAGTGGATGATTTGACAGCGAATTTCCATGTGCAGTGTGAGGAGCGCTGTCCCGGCAAGCTCCTGGTAGGAAGAGACTACCGAATCGAAGGCACTGCACCTGTATTAGTCAAAGTCTGTACTTTCGATCAGGATAACTTACACAACTGTCTCTTGAGTCATTGGCAAGTAGACAGAGACTCGGTTGTCTTGACCCCTTGCCGCGTCATTGACAAGAGTCCATCGCCTTTTGATCGGCTTCTGCATGGTTGTCCGGGAAGAGTCGATATCGTTGCGAGTGATGTGACGAAGTTGATCGACCTTGATGGCGAGCCATTTCATGCTAGTGTAAAGTACACACAAGGAAGAAATCGTCTCACGATCGAGTATGATGTCGTCTAAACGCAGTGGCGTCTCATTGGTCTTGATTATGAGCAGACCGGTTTCTTTTTCCAACAGATCTCGGTCTTTCTCCTCAGATGTCCAGAGCCTCTGCATCGTTTCGTATATCTCGTCCGGCCCACTTGCCAATAGCGCTGACAGCTTCAAGGTTGGTCCATCCGAATCCCGAACACGTGAGACTAAGGATCTGAACCAGTCATAGCATCGGTCGTAGTAACGCATCATTTGAGTGACGATAAGTGAACTGAGGGCTTGATCGTGAGGTATAGTACCCAACATTCGGCAAAAGGCAGTGATTAGAGCAAAGAAAGCCGAAGTGCCCTTAAACACAGGCCGTCGAGCAATCTTGGTCCACTGAGGATCTTGCTGGAACGAGTCCGACTCCTCAAACACTGTATCGCTGAGATTCCCAAGAGTCTCATCAAGCTGAGGAAGAAATACATTGACGAGAAAATTGTCGAGAAAAGAGGTCAAAGTGCTCGTGGCCAGATCCGATCCAGGTGGAACGATGTTCTTCAGCCTTTGTAAGAACCCCAGGGTGGGAGGTAAGAGGAGGCTCATATTGAAGACACTTGGCTCGACTAATGATTTGTGAGCTCCGATACCACCAGATTTATCGTAGACCGACGTGATTGCTTCACGCCGTCCGTTTACCTCTTCAGCTCTGCCAGAGGCTTTCTTTCCATCCGCGACGTGCTTCCGGCTTGACATGAGGCCGGGAACGGCAGCTCTGATTATGCCCTCTAGGTCTTGATACTCCGTAGTCATCTGGACCGACTTCGAATCGGCATCCGAGAATGAGAATAGCTGCTCTCGGTTTGAGTCTTGTTTAGGACCCCCAATTTTGGGCGAAGTATTGAATTGGTAGACATCTGTATCAGTGGTAACGTAGTTGTGCAGCAACGACCGAATTTCGTTCTGGTACAAATTCCATAGTTCTCTGAACCCACCCAGCAGCATCGATGAGTCCCTGTCACCTTCTCTCTTCAAAATGGCTTTTACAACATCATGAAAGACCCTGTGGCTTTCCGCGATGGCTTCGAATTTGGCATAAAGTGTCCAGAGCAAGTCATAAATAACATCTGCTCGAACACTATTCTCCCGACTCCCGAAGGCCTGATTCCCATGTGAGTCTGAAAGCCCACCTCTCAAAGAACTTGGGTGCTTCTGATCAACCTCACTGTTGGTCTCAGTTACAATTCCAAAAAGCTCCACAGGGAGTCTCTGCTTGATCGTGTTTACGGCAGATTCGAGGCGGCCAAGTTTGTTCAGAGATTCTACCAGCAAACTGATGTAATAAAATGTGTCCGCCTCTGGGTTCCTGGATGGATCTTCCACCATAACTTGAGTGAGATCCATGTCGTCTATTACTTCATAGAAAGGCCGAACAGAGGCTGCCCTTTCGGGAACCTCTTTGCCTGGCTTACCTTGGCCCTTTGCCAAGCTCTGCCATCGTTCCTGACAATATGGTGATTTGAGGTATAGATGGTCATGAAGCTCTTCAATAAGGATATCGGTTAAAGCAGTCTGTTGGTTTTCCAGATAGCTTCTCAGATCACTTAAAGCCCCTATTTCATCCAGCGCTGGTGTTCTTATCCGTCGAAGAGCTGTCTGCAATATGTCAACCGCAGTCATGAATCTCTTTTCAGATATCCGCGCTTCTAGCTGATCTGGTACCAGTCGTAGATCCTCAATCTCCGAGAGCATGTGTATTAAATCTTCATAACTTTGTGATGCTGTCGCCAACTTCTTTAGCTCCGGGTCCGTTGTAGAGAGATTCGATTTTGATTGTGTCAAAGATTCCTTTAGTGTCCGAACCCTTTTCTGCGAAGTCTGTATGCTCGATTGAATCTTGTGAAATGTACCAATCGAACTATTGAAGCCTTGATGGTGCTCATGAACAATAGCTTTTAAAGAGTCCTGCAGATACCGATGTGTCTTTTCAAATTGTCGGTACTCGTGGGCTCGTCCAACGGAGCTGGTATCTAGTAGCTGAAGCGCAACATGGACAGGCACACATTCGTTCTGGCACATAGCCGGCCATTCTGCCTTAATGTGTTCTAGCACCTCTCCTATTTGCTTCTCTGCATTGCTTTCTGGCCCAAGCCGCGGAGGGCGGGCAAATGCGCTTCTAGCAGCCGGAGTCGAGGGCAGCTTTATTGGAGTAGCGCCATAGCGATCTTCGTAGCCTCCACTGTATAGATCGTAGTCGCCTGTTTCTCTGATCGGTGCCCCATAACCCCCTCCATTTCCATTCCCGTTCCCATTTCCGTTCGCATAGGTTTCGTTGCTGAATCCTCCATAACCCCCGGGCCGGGCCATGATCTATTGCTCGCAGTCCTAGTCGCGTAGTTTGCCTTAATAAGTCGGCGCCGTTCACAAATGCTCTCAAGAATGCTGGGTGCTTGTATTCGAGTCTTCGAGCAAAGCGTGGATATCTTGATGCTCGAGTCCCAGACGAGCGCCGTTAGACCGAATGTCGGAGCTTCAGCACTAGCGCCGGCCGCTGCAGCCGATGGGAGCTAACGAGTATTTAAAGTTTTCGCAGAACTTGCAGTGTCTATTCCCATCATCAATACAACCTCTCTACATGTTCGAGGACAACACCCTCGGCTGCGATGTCCAGCTTGTACAAATTCATTTCACTATGATCAAAGGGCTGGATACCCTGAGTGAAGATCCTATCATAAACCACCAAAACCGCCGAGCCTTTGCTTTACCTACTCCTGCTGCTGCCACCCGAGGTTCGAGAGAATACCTGTTAAATAACCTGCCTTGCCTTCAGGATTTTCAAGCTTCGCTGGGCGTGGACAGTAAGTCTCTGCCTTTATCTAAAGTACGTCGCTAATATTTACCCGCGAGTGAAGGATGGCGCTGTCGTCTTGAGACCCCTACAACGCGATTCTATCGAGGGGTCCCTTTAGCTCTTTTCTGTTAGTGCAGAAGCTCGGGAAGCCTGTTACGAGTGGCATATGAAATTCGCAGGAACCTACCTACATCTGAAGCTCGAAATTCTCTACATATTATGGACTCTCAGCCTTCTCGGCCAGTCAGCCACCATACATAAGCCGGCTGGGTACCTATACAGGGCCAAAAGATCAACAAACTTCACACTCTGGCGATGACAGTAACTCGAAACCTCGAATGTGATCGGGGCGGTTTGGAGCGCGTACTTATTGACTCCGCTCTACCGGGGCTGGGCTCCATGAGAGCTACCTTTTTGCCTGGTTGCTCCGCATACACTCTTGAGCTACTTCTCGATTGGCTCAGCAATGTCGAACAACCTACAGGACAGCCGACTCCGGCTCATCCCACCCAGGCATTGGAGGCTGAGGCACTGACTATGCCTGCGCTCACCCCTCGTAATTTGGCAGTAGGCTGCGTCATATGACTTTCACCAGCCATCCGCCTCATACTATTTGAGGTCCGCATCGCCGGCAGTTGCCGGGGCGGCGAGACCTCATCAATGTTCCATGTAGGTCTTATTCCGGTTTTCGCGCCGTCTTTCCAAATTCCTGCATGCCTGATCGAGAACTGCCTTTCTTGTCTTATCTTTGGATATCCTCGACTTGCGGATGTATCTCAATCATGTTCTGTCATGGCTGTGACCAGCTTTATCATTTACCTCATCAACTGCTTCAAACACTCTGGGACTTGCCTTCTTTCCTTCGTGGATCGATTCAATCTGTGGCATATCCCTATTTTTGGAAAGCGGAGACCAACACGACCGATTACTCACCGCGATATCTTATCCTTTTGGAGTGGATATAGTGGTCCATATCTTCTGGCCTACACTCTTTTCGCGTACACTCTTGAAATTGGCACCAATGAAGTGCAGGAAAATGGTTGTCTATTATGAGGACCAATCTCTCTCCCTCTCACAATTTGAAATCATTTACCACGTTAGTATAGGCTAATGAATGATGATCCTTGCCAACCACAGCGTATCTCTGTGCTTCTCACAATTTCAGTGGAGTTCCCGCTGCCTGCGATTTCAGTTGACCGCCCCGAGTCTTCGTTTATCTGGTAACTGGGTGAAAGTGAAGGCGCTCTTGGCGTATTGGCCTCTGTGAAAAGCCTCTCCAAAGAGACTTGATCTCGGGTCTTGCAATTCATGCCACAACTAGGGCCCGGGAGTACATTGAACACAGATCGGAGTCTTCGAGACATTGAAGATTTGTAATCGTAGAATCACCGTTTCTGTAAAAGGTGTCGAACAGATATTACCGTTCCGAAAATTCAAAAGGAGAAATCATGCCTTGAAGCCCACTGCCTGTGCCTGCTGTGCCTACCCATGAGTAACATCTTCATATTGCTCTCAGTTGCACAAGCTCAAGCCATCATCATAGGAGAATTGTAAGGAAGAAGCATTCTGTAGAAATTTTCGGTCTTCCACGTTTACTATAGCAGATGAAGAAAATTCGGAAAGGATGAGCGACTGGAACAAGACAGACAGACAAGCATAACATGCAACTGGAAACCAAATATTTACATCGACATAATTCCAATTATGACATAACACGGTGTATGCATGTTATGTGACGCCACAGTCTCTCTTCTCTTCCCCCCTTCCCATATTCCCGAGGAAGACAATAACACAATCAATACCGGACACTCCCTATCCAGAAGTACCAACCCGCCAGAGTTCCACCAACTCGGTATAGAACGCCGCCAAATGATGGCTCCAAAGTCTACCGTGCATCTCAGCCTCAAATGTCTATACCCATACCTAAATCAGGTAGCCCACCCGTAGTCATACAAACAGACAGCCCTGGTTTTCCAAACGCCCATCCTCTACATAATCGTACACTCTCTATCCTGCACCTTCTCCTTGTAGTGCCCGTAATAATGACCCTCTGACCTCTCGCTAGGTCCCTTACTCTTTTCTCTCTTCTTGTCCTTCCCCTTCCTGCTCCTCGATCGTCCGACGTCTGCGTTGAATTCACTCAGATGCTCCGTCTGTTCAGTCGGAGTCTCGATAGCAATGGATCGGCGGGGTTCCACGTCCGCAGGATTGATAATCGTGTCACTGGGCCCTGTGGACTCTTCAGGATTTTGATTATCCGGCTTCGTCACCACCTGATCTTTGCTCTTCATCATGGCGAGGCGAGAGAAGGTATTGCTGATTCTTTTCTCGACACGATTCTCCACAGACTTATCCTCGGACTGACTCGTTGATCGGGTCTTGTTAGCCCGTGTGAACTTATGAGCAGCGCGAGACACCTTCTGAGCAGTGGTCTCTTCGACAGGAGTTGATGGCTGCGAGGTGGTTAGGATACTGTTTGCAGTACTAGCCAGGCTGTATTCCGTGGAAGGTAAGCTGCCCCTACGGGATTCGATGCTGCCTTCCGGGAGATTAAGGCTGTGTCGTGGAGTGTCGGAAAGAGGAACTTCTTCGGATACTCGACCACTCAGGGTAGGATCGTATGCAGCACTGTCGAAGTAGCTTGGCCGGTCTTCCTGCGGGGTGCAATTTATAAGATTCGCTTCGAAATTTGATTCGTGGTAAGAGGGTGGCTCGGGGTCTGGCGGGGTAACAGTTTTGTATGACTGGAGCTGGTAAAACAGGAGGTACGGCATCTCTGTCCCCAATGCTTCCCTGACGTCCACATTTTCGATACGAGGTTTTGCCAAATCATTGAACCTGATCCAGCGTTCTTCGGAGTAGCCAGGTGGTCGATTTGCGTTGACGAGCTTCCGATCTGATTTATAGTCTCCGTCCACTATCGGGGCTGTGCCTCGTGTGTATGAGATATAATGCCCTGAGTCGATCCGATCGCCTTGGTGACATACGAATGACTGTAGCGAAAGCTTGACATCCTCTTCCACTCCCCCCTCACTACTAGTGAAGTGGGGAATCCGAATTTCTAAAGGAATGTCGACGGGAATGCCGTTTCGCTTAGGACCTTTCTCGTCAAATCCATATCTCTTCAGGCAAACACCAATCAGGGGGTTGTTGTCGATTGGTTCACTATTGGGAAGTGTTGATTCTGAAGAGGGGTTTTCATCTAAATATTTGATGTCAGTTGGATCTCGCCACACAGGCCATGCAACATTGCCTATCAATACAAAAGACGTGGGTAAAGCAGATTGCAGTATATTTAACGAAATGGAGAACGGACGTTTTATTGTGAACGATTGCCATGCTTCCACGGAAGCTTCTTTCCGCACCGAGTCGTTGCGTACCAAGGGTGTTGAAAAGCTTTTGCCGGAATCAATACTTTCAGGCCCGAGCATAGTATCAGTCTTCATGTTGAGGAAGTCAATGGTCGAACTCTGTGGGCTATCTTCCGGTTTCTTGTCTGGAGGTTGAACTCGAGCCCATATTATGCTGGTTGAGCGGTCGCGACTATTGGAGGTCCGTGGTGTAGCGGGAGTGACGGGGTTATCAGGTGTCGACCAGGAAAATGGATGGTCTGGAAAGTTGATTTGAGGCAGAGTAGATGCCTCTCCCTGTTCATCGTAGTGGGAGTTGGCGATTTGGAGAGATGATTTGGTCACAGAGCGTTCTAGAGGTCGAGTGACATGTATAGGGCTGGTGAAATAGGCTTCCATGATCTCTTCCAATTTCCAACACGTTCGCCCTGGGGGCAGGTGGTCGGGAATTGCGATGTTGAGGAGTCGCTCCTCGACAAATTTATGATCATCGGGGTCGCCTTCTTTCGCACCGTGATACAAATGCATCTCCATCCTCAACAATGGCATTCCAAGAATGTCTGCCAGATGACAGAAAGCCTCAGCGACATCCTGCTGCTGTGTGGTGCGAGCATTTTCCCATCCACAGTCGGCCATAGCAACCTGCAGTTGTTCCGTCTATATACCAGTCAGCCAGTACCACGATAACGGCGAAGAAGAACCATACAATGTCGGCTTCGATCAAGACCCCACGCCTGAGCATATTAACATACACCCGAAGTATGGCTGAAAGTCGATTTCTAGGCTCATCCTGAAACCGCTGGAGCAGTATATCCTCATAATTAGGTAGCTTCGCAAATATGGCGAACAGCAGCGAGTCGATATAGCAAGTGACGAATTCTCGATTCACCGCCCCTCTGAGGTAAACATCCGGGTTGAAAGGGACAATCTGGAAGTGGAGTGATTCCTGGAATATCCTCAACAATTCCATTGATTTCTCTACGCTGCCTTTGGTGTTTTGACATCCTAGGACAAAGTCGATATTTTCGTCTGACAAGCTCGTGCATCCTTCTTCCTTCAAGCGTTTCTTGATCGCTGATACCTATGGGTATTGCCTATCTTAGCAATGCTCTACTGCGAGCTGTTGGCGGAATGTACCTTTTCCTTGAACTCTTTCGCCTTGTCCTTATCGAGCTTCTGTTGCGGATAGCTCGGTTTGAATATGGAGATGAGTCCTCCTTCACCATGAATGATGGGCGACTGTAGAAAGAAACGAGGCCGAAAGTCAGCTTGTATTGCGTGGATGGCAATGGGCGACGTTTGAATTGACGGTCTGCCCTTGTGGTCTGAACTCGAAAAGGCCCGCGAAATAGAGGAGAAAGAATCAATATGCCGGGTCTTGAATCCAGCATATGAGTAAGGAAAAACGAGGAGTCGGAAAAAGCAACTGCGGAAAAAAGAGAGAAGCGTTGGCGTGAGTTACGTTACCTTCTTCTCTGTGCCCTTGTCCCTCGATTTCACTCGCCTGTGGGCGCTTCCATCCTTGTCGCGCCGTGAGATAAGTCGGTTTATATTCATTTTGAATTTGGTTTGGATGTCCTCAGAAGCCTCTATCATCGTTGAAGCTCGAGCAACGCTTCGGGGAATTGTGTCGGTAACTTTGCTGTTGCGTGGAGAGGCGAGGGGGTACCGATAGATGGAGGGGACCTGTTGGGGTCGTGAAGGATTAGGATGAGAAACTTTGGGATCGAAGAACTTGACGGTGCCTGGAGCAGGAGACGACGAAGTAACCCATTGTCGTATCGAATGCCCGCTGCGGCAAATTTCTGCGTATCCGGGAGAATCCAGGAAAGTGGACGACGGAGCGAGTTGAATTTGCCTGGGCGCTGGTCCCTAGTTGAGTGCCCAGTTGATGAGTTCCTAAAATGAGGTAAGGAGAGAATACGAAAGCGAGCTCCAGATATCCTTGAACGCCAAGCCCTACGTCAGTACTCAGCCAATCTCAGCAGTCCAGGCCCATAATTAGTTTCGACAACACCAGAAATCAATCATCGCCGGCTCTTAAACAGAAACCGTCGGTCGTATTACAATGGCCTCGAAGGACCTGCCATCTGCGCTGCGCCGGCTGATTCTGAGAGAAGCAAGGTCACCAAATGCGCCAATATTAAGGAGTCAACGCCGCTATGCTTCCACGGAGGCAGCAGTCGCCCATGAGGATCTTCAGGAGCTGGAATCCCAATCGTCGTTCCTGTCCACAGGCCTGGTGGACGCGAAAGTAAAGGACTATGATCCAGTTAAGAGAGCTGCGGGAAGGAGGAGGCAGCTTCCATCCAGTCGGTATGTACGCCATCGCTCAGAACTTCCCCCCTATCTATGCCCTGGGCTTCGATTACATACATGCATCTGGTATTGACGTCCATCCAGATACCAGTTCCGGCCCCCAAGATACTATCGAGGACCACTCCACCCCCATCAACCACCTCCCAGATCCGACCCTTCTTCCCGCGAGTTCGTCCCCGGGCCTTTCAACCGCACGCGCCTCGAGCAGACCTACCAAGCCATGATTGCTCCAGACCTAATGACCCTCGGCTACATCCACCAGCCCCCAGGAACCGTCAAGACACCGAGGGCAGATCGGTTGCGTACCTGGGATGACAGCTCTCCGTACCACAAAGGGCGGCCGAAGCGAGGGCCACGAGGGCCGGGAGACGTGCTACGGCTGGTGGAGAAAGACATCACCTGGAAGAACATCCCGAAAATCGAGGAGGTGACGGTGCACTGCTTCGTCAAGGGAGCAATTGACGACTCGAGCCATCTGCACATGGCGGGGATGATGCTGCAGGCCATTACGGGGGTGCAGCCGCTGGTGCACAAGGCGAGGCATAGTGTCAGCCAGTTTGGGATTCGGGAGGGCATGTCGATTTCGTTGACGTGCACGATAAGGAATGATCAGGCGTACGAGTTTGTGGATAAGTGTGTCAATCTAGTGTTTCCCCGGATCAAGGACTGGCCGGGTGTGAAGGGCAAGCTCGCCCTCTTCTACAAATTTTCGTATCTTGAGACTGATTAGGTACATAGGATCAACTGGGGACAGCAGCGGAAACATTTCTTTCGGCTTCGGACGCGAAGGCGCCATCCTCTTTCCCGAAGTCGAAATCAATTACGATGTTCGTCTCCCCTCCCAGATAGACCAAAAGCTCCAGACTAACAAGGCCCCATAGATGTACCCCCCAAAGCTGATCCCAGGCTTCCACGTCACGGTGAAGACGACCGCTACTTCAGACAGGCACGCGAGATTACTTCTCAGCTCTCTGGGCGTGCCTTTCTATGGAAAGTTAGTGGATTAGAGAATGTACGTGTAGAGGGGAGGGTGGGGGGAGCGGTTATTGAGAGCTGTAACACACTAGTGTATACTAGATACATACCAGTTGTAAATCAAAAATCTTATACAACCCATCTCTACCCATCTCGCCACATCTTAACTGCAAGTCGTTGCATAGCTCTCGCATACATACTTTACATAAACACAAACACAAACATCATCTAAACTCGAAACCCTCGCATTAATCAGCCTCAAACATACCTATATCCATATATCCATATATCCATATATCCATATATCCATTCATCCATATATCCATTCATCCATCCATCCATCCATCCATCCATCCAATCCAAGCCAAGCCAAGCCAGTCCAAACAATCAATCAATCAATCAATCACCCACTCCGACTGACGTCAAGACAAACCAACCGACTCAAATCGCAAAACGGAAAATCGAAAAACAATCCCTATATATATATATATATATATATATGTAATCCAATTTCCCCTCTCACTTGCTGCTATATTTTTTTTACTATGTTTTATATATATATATATTTTTTTTATTCTATTTTATTCTATTTTATTCCATTTTATTCTATTTTATTCTATTTTATTCTATTTTATTCTATTTTATTCTATTTTATTCTATTTTATTCTATTTTATTCTATTTTATTCTATTTTATTTTATTGCTTGCTTGCTTTCTTGCTTGCTGCCTCTTTCTTGGACGGGAGAGCTGAGGTGAGGTGAGGTGAGGTGAGGTAGGTAGGTATGCTTTCTTTGTGCTTCTGGAGAAGCGTCTCGAGTTCTGTCTGCCTGTCTGTCTGCCTGGATTGGGTATATTCTGGATTTTACACGTCTCGGTAAGCACTACCCTCTGAAAAGAGAATGAAATCCAGCGCGAGTCCTCTGCGCTCAAGTCCTATCCCGTTTGTGTACAATTATGCTATTCTCCGAACGCCAGAACACCGTTCTACTTGGGCACGCAGAACTCCCCTCCATTTTCTTTTCCCTTCCCCTAAGCCCCCTCAGTCTGTCTTTCAATTCTAAGCATTCTTCCCCACGACACGACAATTAGTAGCAGCATCCCTCAGCGCCCCAAAAATCCCATCACAGACACCCATGTCAGCCGCATCCACCTTCTCTCCTAACTCCATCCCCTCAACTTCCTCGCCCCTCAACTCCCCAACCAGGACATCCATGGCAGGTTGATAATTCCTACATGCGCTGCTAAGCGCATACACGGCCTTCCTCCTCACGACCACTTCCTCGGCCTCCGCGCGCGCCAGCCGTACCAGCAGCGGGATGCCGCCGTGCGCGAGGCAGCGCTCCTGCGCCTTCGCGTTGTTCTGGATCGCTGTGCCGATGCACCACGCGGCCATAGTGCGGATGTCGGGTGCGGGATCCGAGAGGGTGCCTAGGAGAGAGGGCCAGAGGGCGAGAGCCTCAATGTTGTTTGCATTGTCGAGGTTTTCGATTAGTCTTGGAATATGTCAGTTTTTGTCATACATAGACTGCGGGATTTTGAACTCATGTTTCTTGCATGTGGGGTGGGGAGTTTCTCCTCTAAGGAAGAGGGGGGGATGAGAGACGTACTGCTCGAAGTTGTCGAAGGCGACTAGTTTGTCCTCGAGGGTGATCTCGGGGTCGGAGGAAAGAATGGCGGCCATGGACATCTTCATCAGGTCGGCGTCGCTGGGGCCGCCGAAGAGGGCGGACAGCGCGGCGGGGTCGATTGGTTTTGCGGGGGCTGAGGAAGGGTCGGAAGAGGAGTTCTCGGTGGACCATTTCAGGAGGGAGTTGAGTTTGGAATCCATGATTGCAGTTCTGTAGCTGTGGTGTTGATGTTGGTGGTGACGGAGGAGGGTGGAGGTGTAGATGTGAAGATGTGAAGATGTAGATAGAAGTAGATTTGAAGAAAAAGTTGTGAGGTCAACTGCCACACTATTATTAGCTTTGGAGGGGTAGCTTTACCCGCTCAGGTGCGGGAAGACGCCGGGGCTGGAAGAACGAATATCCGGCTTTCCACCTCAGTCTCAATCATGACGTTGTTACCGGTACCTTTTCCCGCCTAATTTTGAGCATGCCCAAATTACACATTCCTCTACGGACACACCATTGCTCTATTCACTGCCCCTCCATCCGAGAGCGTTATCTTCATTACACGCACGCATTGCGTTGACATCAGTGCCGAGACGAGAGCTGATGTGGTTGCAGCCCTGCGTGGCTGCTGTCAACCGACACACGTTGGAAGGCGACAGGAACACAGCATGCGGCTACCTCGATGCTGGTATGCTTGTAGACCGGCCTCCGGATCAGAGTTGGCTGGCTTTATTTTTAAATGATGGAGTCTCATCCGCCCGTGTCCTATCTACTTCTATGTACCTATTTGGGGTGGGGTGGGGTGGGGTGGGTTGGGTTGGCTTCTCTTCGTATCGCTCGTCCTCACTACGATCAAGTTGCGGTGTGCGAACTGGATGGCCCGGGCTTGGTGGCTGGATAGTAGTAAGCTTGTAGAAGTATGTACCTACCGTATTTGAGCAGTGGTTGGAGATCCTTCGCAGCCTCCTCAATGTTAAAGTAGAGGTAGAAGTAGAAGTAGAAGTAGAAATAGACCTGGACCTGGAACATGACCTGCACCTGCACCTGCACCTGGACCTAGAGGTAGATCTACCTAAAACGTAAATGCAGAGGAGGATGTTTCCAGACGCTTGAATGCGCAGGGTAGCGGGAGTACGTAGAGAGCGAGAGAGCGCGAGAGCGTGAGAGCGTGAGAGGCGATGATGGCAATTATTCCCCAGCCACCGTCATCAGCGGACAGCTGTTCGCTTGCCACTCGGCTCGGGCTAAAGCGGCAGTCTATATGGACCAATCATCGCCTCACCTTTCTCCTCCTCCTTCCCCCCCCCCCTGGACCGATCAAGCAGTCGCGGCCCACACAACCTCGCTGTGACATCGGCCTCCAATCCACCACGGGTCTTGTCTCCTCTCGAAACTTCATCTGGTCAAGAGATTTATCTCCTCATCAACACCAGAACACCCCCTTCTATCACCACCACCAACTCGCCTTCGTCGTCTCCCCCCCCCACCGTCGACTTCAGTTCTCTCGATCTAATCGTCGCGAGAACCTCACACCGCCCACCTTCTACACACGCCTCCTTTTATTTGACGCTCAGTCGTAATCAGCAGCCATGGAGGGTAAGCAGACCTTCCTCCACCTCTCCTCTTCTCTGTTCAGATCCATTGATACTACCTCCGCGCATCGAACTGGCTATACCTGAGTACTGGCTAACTTTCTCTGCCCTCTACAGAAGAAGTCGCAGCTCTCGTCATCGACAATGGGTAAGCTCCGACCCCCCTCAGCATGCCAACCTCGAGATTACCTGTACAGCATCTGCTGGCCTCCATATCCATCCAGCCTTCACCATCGATTGCGTCGAGACTAGGAACATCTTATAGTGTCGCGGGATGTAGCTGACGGGCTCTGCAGTTCTGGAATGTGCAAGGCCGGTTTCGCCGGTGACGATGCTCCCCGAGCTGTCTTCCGTAAGTCTTCCACCTACAATCAGATTTTCGTTCCCGATAAGGCTCTATGTGCACTTGGCGCACTCGTCTTGGTAGCCATCGCAGCTAATAATACTCGCAGCATCCATTGTCGGTCGTCCTCGCCACCATGGGTAAGGACTCCTAGCTCCGCTATTTTACCTCTGCATGGACAGCACGAGCTAGAAACTGATGTGGTATCTGTAGTATCATGATTGGTATGGGCCAGAAGGACTCCTACGTCGGTGATGAGGCACAGTCCAAGCGTGGTATTCTCACCCTGAGATATCCTATTGAGCACGGTGTTGTTACCAACTGGGACGACATGGAGAAGATCTGGCATCACACTTTCTACAACGAGCTGCGTGTAGCCCCCGAGGAGCACCCAGTTCTTCTGACCGAGGCCCCGATCAACCCCAAGTCAAACAGAGAGAAGATGACCCAAATCGTCTTCGAGACCTTTAACGCCCCCGCCTTCTACGTCTCCATCCAAGCCGTTCTGTCTCTCTACGCTTCTGGACGTACCACTGGTATCGTTCTCGATTCTGGTGATGGAGTTACCCACGTTGTCCCCATTTACGAGGGTTTCTCCCTTCCCCACGCCATTGCCCGTGTCGACATGGCTGGTCGTGATTTGACCGACTACCTCATGAAGATCTTGGCTGAGCGTGGTTACACCTTTTCCACCACTGCCGAGCGTGAAATCGTTCGTGACATCAAGGAGAAGCTCTGCTACGTTGCCCTTGACTTTGAGCAAGAGATTCAAACCGCCAGCCAGTCTTCCAGCCTGGAGAAGTCGTACGAGCTTCCCGATGGACAAGTTATCACCATTGGTAACGAGCGTTTCCGTGCCCCTGAGGCGCTCTTCCAGCCATCTGTCCTGGGTCTTGAGTCTGGTGGTATCCATGTCACAACTTTCAACTCCATCATGAAGTGTGATGTTGATGTCCGCAAGGATCTCTACGGTAACATTGTCATGGTAAGTTTCAGCATCTACTACCATCGTCGATTTTGGGAGTCTGCTAACACTTGATCAGTCCGGTGGAACCACCATGTACCCAGGTATCTCCGACCGTATGCAAAAGGAAATCACTGCTCTTGCCCCATCCTCCATGAAGGTCAAGATCATTGCACCACCCGAGCGAAAGTACTCCGTCTGGATTGGTGGTTCCATTCTCGCCTCCCTCTCTACCTTCCAGCAAATGTGGATCTCGAAGCAAGAGTACGACGAGAGCGGACCTTCCATCGTCCACCGCAAGTGCTTCTAAGGTAAAGCTATACCCGAACCCCCCCCCCCCCCCCCCCCTTTCCCCGTCGCGCAAATGGAGCTGACCCTCTTCCAGACTTCTACACGCAATTTTTGCGTACATCACGAACTTCACGGATTTGACCAAGAAGAAGACGCGAGCAAAGCATTCGTTCCTCATGCTTTGCTGTCCTGCAAAGTGTTTACATTCCGAAAAGTTCTGGTAGCGGCGCGAGCGATTGGGTGGACTTTTTCTGAGTGGAGAACGGGAATCTGGACTGCTTGTGCTTAGCCGCCTGTTTTGCTTGGAGCATTGGTCAACACGTTGTCGTCTATCGATCAATTAATCGGTCTCCAATCATAAACAATTTTTTCTTACTAATACATTGCGGCCCTTCATTTGGCGGCGCCCTTTCCACAACTGAGTATCTCTTGAGAAGGGGGAATCAATGGAAGGGTTGTTTACCTGGATTAGAGAGGATTGTGATATCGCGCGTGACTGAATACTCGTCTTTCGATGCTGATGACCAGTTAGGTGAATGTCGCCCTTGTGGTCTGAAGAGTCGAGTCTCATGGGAATCGATCTATCGATTATGCATCAGCCCACATGGCAAGAGTCAAACATAGAAAGGGTATCCAAGTAAGTAGAGTCAAGTTGGCATTACCGTGGATTTCCAGCAAAATCCAGTTCATCTACGGGGACACTCTCAAACCGGCGATGGACTCCCTCCAGACGCGCCTGCATACGCACTACTGTTTGCCCCTTCCTGCGAGACGGCAAGTCTGTTGCATGTGAGTGACACTGACTAAAGTGATGAAGGGGTCGAATACGATTCTCTACCCTAAAGGGTTAAGGTAAGGTAACCGTACCGTGGTGATATTTTGCCGGGTGAACTTCAACAGGGAGACACATGTGCACGGGATGTCCTTTTGTTCTCGACATGCTGGATCTGGCAGTGTTGTTCTGTTGATGGGGGAGGATGGGGGTGAGAGACTCGATCTGTACGTATAAATGAGCGAGACGACTGCGCCCACGCGGGCTTTCAAAGGGGATTCCGGCGTAGCAGTGCGTAGCAGACGCTTCTGCCGTCTGCTGCGACTTGGAAAGGGATGCAGAATGATTTTGAAAGCTTCATTTGATATCAACGCGCTCAGAGCAATACGGGAACCGAGGGATGTAGGAATTGGAAGAATATCAAACAGTCAGAGCACGCAGTTAGGCCCCAGAGCCTCTAAGAGCCTATTTCCTGGTCCCGAGCCTGTTCCAGAAGAGACAGGTAGTACTTGACGTTCTCATACACCAGGAACGTAACCCACGTTGCCGGCAACACCCTCACCACACTCGTGCCCAAGCCCCGGTAGAAGCCGCTCGCGCCCTCCTCCTTCCAGATCTTCGCCACCACGCCCGTGATGCCCTCCCCGTAGACATTCCTCGCGTCGTTCATCTGCGAGCGGCTCCTCACCACCTGGAAGGGGTACGTGACCGTCCCTGCAATGATCTTCGCCGCGCCCGAGATCAGCATCGTCGCCGTGTTCCCGAACTTCTCCTCCCGCGAGTACGCCTTCCACATGTTCCTCAGCGGGTCGTAGACGGCGAACTGCACCGCGCCGTGGCTGTTGTTCAGCAGGCTGACGCCGAAGCCGCGGTAGAAGCCCCGGAGGCCCTCGTTCTTCATGACTTCCCGCGCGCCGTGCCAGATGCTGCTGTACGCGCCGGCGGCCCCGCGGTCGGAGCCGAGCATCCGGGTCTTGATCACCCAGATCGGGTTGGTGCTGAAGGAGGTCAGGCCGCCCGAGAGGGAGGCGGCGACGAAGTAGTCCAGCGGCGTGAGCGCGCTTCTGGGGTCGTCCGGGAGGGGGGAGTGGCCGGAGTCGGAGAGGGGTTGGGAGGGCCGCGCGTGGAAGCTGGCGAGCTGCTGCTCGACGAGCGATTTGGAGTAGAAGAAGAGGGACCAGGAGCTGGCATTTCCGATCAGGTTGGGAGTGGTCCCGCGGTAGAGACTTTGCAAGGGATGTTTGCTGGAGATGAGCGTCCGGAAGATCGTGAGAGCGCTTGTGGCAGTTGGGGAGGAAGCTTTGCGCTGGACTGGGGCCGGTTCGTTAGTTGAGTGTGTATGTAAATGTGTGAAGGCGAGGGGGAGGAAGGGTGGGAAGCTTGCTTTGCAATCGCGTCTTGATCACATCCAGGGGATGCACGGCGACCGTCGTTGCGACGCCTGCAGTGAAGCCGGCGATGGCCTCGACTGTGGGAGAGGCTCGCGCATGGTTGTCAGACATGTCATGAGTGCGGTGTTGGGGATGTCATGTTGTCTGTTGTAGTGTTGGGAGCAATGGATATTCTTTGAGGTAAGGTACTTGCGCAACGAAGTTTTCACCGAGGCCCGATAATGTGCGCCGCTTTTGCTTTACATCACAGAAATTCCAATTAGGGTCTCTACATGCGTAGGATGGAAAGACGACGAACTGGAGGATTTGGAAGTGGTGATCGCACCGCTCAGTGCTATTGTACAATTATCTCGGTAGTACAGCCATACCATGCCATCCATCCATCCATCCATCCATGGGTCCTTCCCATATGCCCTTCAAAACGCCGGCTATGCTACACACATCCTGCCTTCGGAACCCAGATCCTCGTACATATTTCTCTTCCTGGCGATGGAATTCCTGGGTGTAAGGTAGATGAGGGGTTCGTATCGTGAGTTGAGTTGAATTGAGTTGGGTACTGATCTTATGCAAGAGGAGAGAAGAGTCTGTGGAGAGCATCAGTACTGTAGAGATCCTGGGTCCGGGGCGAGTACATACCGGATAAAAGATGGACGAGGCTCGCTGCGTGTGTATCCTGATTGTGTCAGTATTCCTGGCCGAGTGCTGTAAAGCTTGAGGGAGCAGTACCAAGGTAGATGATCAGAGGAAGGTAGCCACTACATCTGTTAGTAGCCACTCTCTGCACGAGGGGTAAGGACGGGCATCATCGTACTAGTGGATAGCGACACGAGAGAAGTCAATGACCTTTCCGATGCGCTCCTGGAATCTCATCAGTACATCGTTCTCTGCCTCAGCCCTCGATCCTGACGGACCTTGGATTCCTCTGAAAGTTGCATATTGACGGGTTGGAATGCTGGTTTGGAGCTGGCAGGGCGTCAGTCAAGGTAACATTCCATCCGGAATACAAGAATAAGAGGATATACTCACAGGCTTGAACTTGAAGTGCGGCGATAATTGTCGTTGTCTTCAATCTTCACTCAAGGAACAGCGCCGGCCCAAAAAAAGATCGAAGTCCAATCCCTGTCGGTACTAGCGCCAATAACTTTATTCCGAAGAGAGAGAGAGAGAGCTTCACACGCGCCTTGCGACGTCTCTCAACCTCAGCCCCAAGCCCACTCCGTCTCGCAAATTTTCACCATGTCAGGCGCACGGCACTGGTAAGCGCTCCTCTCTCTCTGAAAAATGTAAGAAATGCTCAATATGTAATAGGGAGCAAGACAAGGAAGCCACCGTCTACATTGGCAACATCGACGAACGGGTTACAGACAGCCTGGTATGGGAGCTTATGCTGCAAGCTGGGCGCATTGTCAACGTCCATCTACCAAAGGATAGGGTTACCCAGACACATCAGGGCTATGGCTTCGTCGAGTTCATCAGCGAGGAGGATGCCGAGTATGCGGCGAGAATTATGAATCAGGTCAGATTGTATGGAAAGCCGATTCGAGTCAACAAGGTATGGTTCCTTTCTTCTTGACATGTCGTGCTTTTTGGACGACAGAACCGAAGAGCGCATCGATGCTAATACGAGCTACAGGCCTCCGCAGACAAACAGAAGCCTATCGAAGTCGGCGCAGAGTTGTTTATAGGCAATCTCGACCCAATGGTGGACGAAAAGACTCTCTACGATACCTTCTCCCGCTTCGGATCCCTCCAAGCACCTCCCAAGATTGCACGCGATGAATCTGGGCTTTCCAAGGGCTATGGTTTCGTCTCGTACGCCACCTTCGAAGCATCGGACGACGCTATCGCGAACATGAACGGCCAATACCTGATGAACAAAGACGTGAGCGTACAATATGCCTACAAGAAAGACGGAAAGGGAGAGCGACATGGTGACGAGGCGGAGAGAATGCTTGCTAGCTCGGGCCAGAAGAACAACGTTGTTCCTGAGGCACAAACTATGCCGGCGCAACTATTGATGAACGGAAACGTACCCCAGGGACCAGCTGCGATGATGGACCCCGGAATGGGTATGAACATGGGCACACCACAAGGAGCATACGGAGGACCGCCACCTAATCTCCCACCTGGATTTGGAGGTAGACCCGGAGGAGGATACAACTCAGTTCCGCCACCCCAGCCACAGCAAGTAATGGCTCAGAGACCGAACATGCCCCTTCCACCTATACCTTCTGGACTCCCGCAGCGCCCTCCTCCTTCGCAAGCTGGATACGGTGGCCCTCAAGACTTCCACCCTCCCGGGTTCGCGCCCCCTCCAGGATTCCAACAACCCATGCCCCCTGGATTTGGAGGCCCGCCACCTCAGATGCCACCGGGTTTCATGCCGCCACCTGGATTTCCGCCGCAGCAACAAGCTCCGCCGGGCTATATTGGCAGACGGTGAGGAGCTTAGGGATTTAGGAAAGAGGCAAAGAGACTCAGAGAGCATGTACAAGAGGCCTTTGGATGGGCAGCAAAATTTTTGCTCGGTGTTATCAGGTGGGCATGGCAGGCGTTCAGGGGAGCTTCAGTTAGGGTGAGTTTACATGGAATGGATGATCTCCTCAGAGCTACGGTAACATCCAGAACAGCTTGTGAGGGAGATACCCACAGATCATAGCAAGACGTGATAATCGGCAGCCATGTCTTTTTGTAAAGAATATACTGAAAGTTGGTATTCAGATGGAGGCAGGATTACAACTCCTTTCATCTCAGTTTATGGATACATGGAGTATTCGCTAGGTAATCTGAAGCAAATACGTTTCACAACTTTGATGGGTATGCTGCTATCATGTCTTTACGTTCTGTTTGCTTCGTCAAATGAATTCCAACACCATTATTATCAATCCTATGATTTAATAACAAAGAACGTCATACTTCACAAGCTACTTTCCTGTGCGACTCTCGCTATCCTATTTTCATTTATTCTTCCAAACTGAAGGGATGAACCGTTTACCCGTCGTTCTACGCAGCTAAAGCCCGGCAAAGCCATTTTATCAGGTTTACTGTCTTCATCCATGCCATTGACACGGTTTGAAAGTTCGAGACAGACCGGGCAATCATATACCCTCCAAGTCCCACCGCCCTCCGACTTCAACGCTAACTCGTGCGGCCAGAGGTCTATTTCCTGCACCATTCACTCGTTCCTTTAGCACTACTCGGGTGCCTTGCATTCCATCCCCTTGCTCCTCTACGACGACGGTGGATATCAATCAGGGTTGGTGGTGAATCTGGCTTCGGGCGGCTATCATACGGATGTAGTCACTTTCCAGCGCGCATTCACCAGCTGCTCGCTGGTGCAAGGATGTGGCTGCCGGTTTTGGGATCCGGGGTGGTGTGTGTGTGTGTATATATACACACCACGTCCCCAGTGTGGTACTCTCCGATCTCCATGCGCAAGTGAGACTGCTCCTGTCCCTATTAAGGATGGGCCAGCCAGAGCTCCCGTGCGTGGCTTACTTGGGGCCGGGAAAGCGGATAGATACCATGCTAGCTATCCTGGCTTATGTTTCGAGTCTGATGACAAGTGAGTGACACTTTCCACAAAGACTGGAATGGTGTATCTTTGACCTGGCTGAAGGGTTTCTCTCAAGCCGGAGGAGGACGAGAAGGAGGAGGAGGAGGAGAGTGGAGCTCTCTCGCCCAGCCTCAAATAGTGTGTTCCTTTCTTCCTCTGTCAATCAAGTGGCTACTTGTCGTTGTCAAGATTGAAACTTGCGCGAGGGCTGACAGCGAGAGAGAGAAACCTGCGTATAACTCGGTACCTAGTAAGAAAGGAAGACAGAAGCGAGTCTCCCCCCTCTATGTACCGCTGGGTGTCCAGACGTCTGTCTGGATTCCGGATCTCCCAGAGACGGCGGAGGAGAAGGAGAAGAAGAAGCCTGCGCTAGAGGGTGGAGCAGATCGCTGTGCGTGGGCGGCAGACAGTCGCCCGTCTGATCGCTTTTGCTGCATGTTTGTCCACCTTCGCTTGTTCTGCCCTGCCCTGGAGGATCCAAATTCCGTGCTGGCAGAGCCCTTCCCATACCAGCTCCCGAGTCTGGAGTCTACGGAGACGGCCATGCACAAAACATTGAATCTTTCGTCGATGCCATTTCCTAACCATCTATCTGGCTTCGTCTTTTCACCATTCCAAAGACGTGTCTCACTCAGCTCCTACCTTCTTAGATGAGGGAGGGGTATTTGACTTGCACTACATATGTATTATGTATATATATATATATACATCAACCAGACCCTTTCGCAGATCGTAGTTTCTATCCACGTGTCTGGTCTTGTAGGAGACGAAGCTTCACTAGCTAGCACAGCACGACCCAAGCGCCGCAAGCTCTGGCAAAGCTCGCGGCGTCAAGAAAGGGCAAGCTCCTCCTCCCTCCGGCAGGTGCACCTGACCCCCTTTTTGCACTCGAGGTCTACCGGTACTGTAAAGCTTGCGTATGCCACGGGATAAACAAGTGACAACTTTCAAGAAAGTCTAGGATTTTTTTATATTTTTTTTTTTACGAAAAAGGGTTTTCGTACAGGGGGATTGCTCGTCCGTCCCATTCTCGAGCGGGAAGAAAGCGAGAGTCTTTCTGTGAATTGGGTGCTGGCTGGATGTCAGACGAGAGCGAGAGCTCTCGATAGCGCGACTAGGCACTACCTTACTTACTACATAACCCCTTGGGATCCCCCCCACGGCACCTTTCCGTGAAGTCAACACAGCCCTTCCCTCACTCGCACTCTTGTACCGGTAGGCATCCGGCCACGCGAGACTCACAAGCCCTCATGCTCGCAAGCACTAGGTAAGGTAGTTAGTCGGGCCCTCCATCTCCTCGCTCCATGCCACCTACCTCAGACTCAACGTACACCTACCTCTCTCTCAAACACCGCGCTTGCCGCTTCACCCACCCACGTGATTCATAGATGGATGGATGGCCGTGACTCGCTCAGCCTAGGAATCCGCCTCGAATAATTCTGCTTCCAGCTCTGCGTCTACGCTACGGAAAAGCCTGGTTAGTCTTTTCACCACCGCAGTACCGCAGTACCGCAGTACCGCATCTCACCTCCTTCTCCCCGGCTGCTTGTCGACAAGCAGAGCAACGCAGAGAAAGCCGTTGAGTAGAACAGTGCCGGGTTCAGCAGCTTCTTCTTCTTCCTCTCAGAGTCTTGTGTGTGTTTTGGCCCTTGGGCGATATATACATGCACATATACACACACACACACACACACATAAATATACACACACTAATCATCTCCTCCACAATTGATAAGTATCCCTCCCCATCGCCAACTACCACTACCCCCCCCTACTCAGGTAAAACCAGCCAGTCATTCTTCCGCAGTCCGTAACATATATATATATATATATATACATCTACATTCTTTTCCTCCCCCAAACGCATCTACAAAAATCATACGAAGATATATATATATATATATCAGTAACACCAAAGCCTTTCGGGGGGGGAGCTCAAGAAGCGATACAGTAATAATAAGGTGGTTTGGGGTTTCTCAGTCAGCAGGTAAGGTATACGAACTAGTATAGGTAGGTATAGGTATAGGTATATAGAAAGAGAGAGAGAGAGAGAGAGAGAGAGAGAGAGCATGCATGCACGTAATCAACACTTTGTATCCAGACTTGGCAGCCTACACTTCCGGTCTCTCCCTACTACCTCCTTCGTTAGGCTGGCTGCACGGCTGATGGTATTAGAATGCCGTTCGTGCGAAGGAGCCAGGTACGTAGCTTCGAGGACTCGAGGACTCGAGGACTCGAGGTGAGAAATGTTTTGAGTCCGCTTCTATATCGTAATAGGGTACAAGGGATAGATAGTATTAGAGAGTGATGTTGCGTTCTTGGAACCGTCAAGCAATCCTTTGATCAATAAGCGAGAGAGAGAGAAAAGCAAAAGGATTAAAAAAAAAAAAAAAAAAAAAAAAAAATACAGAATTGACGTGAATTTTTTTCAGCTACTTTTCAGCTCAATGCCCACGGACATAGCGCCCACTTCTATCGGTACATGATGCAGGGCTGTTCGTTCGTGCTAGAAATACAAATCAAAAGGCCTCTCTCTCTTTTCTTCCTTTCATAGCCTATCCTGTCGCCGACATCCAGGCCTCGTGTTCATCAATTGATTCGTGGCCTCGACCCCAACCACCGGCCTAAATTCCTCACCACTGCCCGTCCAACAGATCTACGAAACCTCCTCATCATTGTCAACAGCCATCTCCGGATCGGCACCCGCACCAGCGCCATTCTGCGCACTCACCCCCCCTTCGGCCTTGAAACCGTCTTGTCTGACCTCTGGCCGACTCTCGAATTCCAAGCACCACGTCTCCTCCACAGCAAACTTGCGCCTAAAGACCCTCAACCACCTCTCCCCCCACTGTTTCACCATCTCCCCCTCCCCATCTCCGACGGCCTTGCTCCCTTGCACCCATCCCACCAGCTCCCGCTCCATAAGGTCAAACAGCTCCTTCATACTAGCCTTCTCCCTCACCACGGTCTCGCTCATCAGCGCCTTGGCTTCAGGTGATAGCCCAGGCACGCGGTTCGCTTGCACGACTTGACGTACGCGGTTCGTGACTTTGCCGATCGTCGAACTCACCATCTCGTAGACGTAGGCTTTACCGAGACGAGACCCCTCGTTGGAGAGCGCCCAGTCGACGACGGAGGCCGGGGAGAGAATGGTATAGTTGAGCAGCTTGTCGACGATGTTGACGCCGATTCCAGGCTGGTCCTTCCAGTACAGCATCACCGAGTCGATGATCTGGGTGCGTGCGGCAGGGGACGCGGGGCCGAGTGCCAAGAGGCGGTCCTTGCAGCGCTCGATGCAGGAGAGCACATGCGAGAGGGATTTGGAGCCGATGTAGCAGATGGAGGTCATGTAGGCGTCGGTGGAGCAGACGAGTTCGTCAGGGAGGGCAAGCGAGCGGGCTTGTAGGTGGATGCGGTCGATAATGGGCTGGATGTCTGCTTCGGGGGATTTCTTCTTCAGGAGAGCGAGAATTTCCTGGCCTTCTTGACTGAAGGGTGTATCTGATTTCGTCAGTCAAACCTCGAATTTTTTTCTTGTCGTGAAAGCAGAGACATACCTTGAAGGGCATACTTGAAATCCGGCGTATCCATCTCCTTCTCCTTGGTGATCAACGCTTGATACGGCGCCGGCAACGTCCCCTTGATACGCTGCGCAAAGCTCAACCGGATCTCCTTATCCAGCGCGCCCTCAATAAAAGCCTTCTTGGGGTTCAAACCCGGCAACTCGACATCATCAATCCACTCGGTCCACTTCCACGTGAATCCGAAATTGCTCAAGTGATGCGCAAACCAGTCCATGAAGCGGTAGCTGAGCTCGAGATCCATGGAGTCAACGCCGCGATAGAGGTAACGGATAGCCCGGCCCAAACTGGGTGCGATGGCTGCTGGGGCGATCTTGCAGGCTTCGGTGAGGACCGCGTGGTAGTAGACGAGCTTGTGTTCCGGAGATGGGAGCTGGAAGAGCTGGGAGAAGACGGCGTCGACGGCAACATCTTCTGGCTTCCACGTCGAGCGATCGCCCTCGATATCTCTCAGTCTGTCGAACGGCGTCGCTCTCTTGACGAAAGTATCAGGGGCGAAGTAGCAATCGATATCGATCAAGAACTTGGCCGTAGCATTGCGGTTATAGTCGAGGATATTGATGGTGTCGACGATGGCATCCCGTATCAAGCACGACGCGATATCGGTCGTCGGCGCCACAGTCTCGACATCCTGGTTTGCGTAGACAGAGAAGTACAGGTCCGGGAACAGCGGTCGCGGGCCATTGACGACAATTTCTGGCATGTTGATGACCGGAAGTGCATGCTTCGGTGCAGTAGCCAGCAGATTTTCGGATCCGGCCTCGAACTTCACCTTCCACGGTCTCGGCAAGCAGCTCAGCTGCCATCCCGTAGCGGCCTCATGCTGCAACTGTTTCTGCAGCAACATCAACACACCCGTCGGAACCGATGCTTCCTCCTTGCCGTTACCCGGGTACGGGTCTACCATTGCCTGCAAAACGTGCGGTTCCGAAGCAATGATGTCCGTGTTCTCGACCATGGCAGCCGCCTTCTCCTGGTTATCGGTCGCCGAAGAAGCCATGACATACGGGATCGTCAACAAGATGATCTTGACCAGCTCGGGGCCAATCGTCTGTTTGTTCCAGTTAGCATTCATCCATCATCCATAATACACCCACACATCCCCTGCTTTCCCCACACTTCGTCCCAAGGCAACCCCCAAGCCAGAGCCAAACAGAAACAGAAGAGCTCACCTCTTCACAATCCCCCGTCTGCAGATCCACTGCCCTACCAAGAAAGTCTTGCAGCACACCCCAAACTCCCTCGCCCTCCAGCATCCCCTGCACCGCACCCAAGAACCTCGAACAGAGCTTCACCTCCCTCCAGTCCCCTCCCAGCAACGCCCCACCAAGCCTCTCACAAACCTTGAGCAACACCTCCTTAGCCACACTCACACCCCCGGCATCCCCATCCCCACCACCGCCCACAAGCGCATTAAGCACCAGCACAACCGCAGCCACAAACGGGATCTTCAATGGCTGCTCAACCACGAGCTGCACGCATAGCTCCACCACCACCTCCCTCACCTCCCCAGCTCCCTTTGCGTCCCCCTTCTCCCCTTCGGCGAGGTTCGCAGCAACGTCCCTAGCAAGCGCGAGCACCTCCTCCTCCGGCGCCTTGAGCGCGCTATCCGCGAGCGCGAGGAACGTCTTGCGGATGCGGGTGGCAGGCGGGTCCTCGTAGCGTCTGCGCTGGGGGCGGCGCTCGTAGTCATCTTCGTCTGTTGTTGCTTTGGGTTAGCCAGAAGAGGAAGGCAGGTAAAGCAGAGCAAAGCAGGCCAGAAACTGAATCAGCTATCCTCATGCCTATCCCCATCCTTATCCCTCATCCTCTTCTCGTGTTGAAAGACCGAAAGCTCAATCCCCCCTCTCCACCCCCTGCGCATTCAGAGCGAGCAGCGCGGACAAGGCAATCCAAAAAAAAGAAAGAAAAAAAACACCATGACAGGCCAGCCACCAACACCAAGGCAACCCCAACAGTACAGACCAGAGGACAGATTTAAGAAAGAAAAAAAAAACCAATTGGAAAACATACCTCGATATCTCCTCTTCTTCCCCCCTCCGCCGCCCCCCCCCCCACCCACCACCACCACCTCGAAAGTAATCCCCCATTCTCTCTTGCCGTCTCCTGCTTGGACCCGACTTGTCGTGTCAAGAGTTGTGATCCTCCGCCCTCTAAACAGCCTCCCGTTATTCGGCTCCTTCCTTTCCCTCCCAATTAAGCTCTGCTCAAGCTCAGCTGCGTCTGCGTCTGCCTCTCCCTCTCAACCCAGCACAATATGCGGAACCTTCGTCGGTCGTCGGTCGTCGGTCGTCGCGTGCGCCTCCCGGACCTTTCTCTCCCGGGGGTGTCCTCGTCTTCGTGCTTCGATCGTCCTTCTTGTTCCCTCTCGGACACGCGTCTCTAAATAGAAACCCCCCGAGCCCAGATACTAGGTTCCAAGTCCTCAAACCCGAGCGCGCGTTGTCTGTCGATTGTTGTTTTTGGGGCCTGACCTACTACTGATAATAATCTTACAGCTGAGGCAGGTAGGTAGCAAGATAATTGGTTGGTTGGTTGGTTGGTTGGCTGGTTAGTTGTGGCTTTTGCTGTGGGGATTATGACTAAGCTACGCAAAGCTACGCTAAACTACGATAGGCTAGGCTAGGATAACGCGCGACTGGACTTCGTAGGTAGTACGGAAAGCAGACTGGCGATGAGTGAATACAATATTGTACATAGAATACAATACCACTTGCCGCGCCCCATGTTTTTACTATCAATATCCTCAAGATGGATATCATCATCAGACCGCTTTACCCCCATCCATCCATGTATTACCATAGAACAAAATTCACACACACAAAGGACTGGGAAAATGCAATCTCTCCATCTTACGTTCGTTCACTTACTGTCAATCCCAATCTGGCTCAATCCCCAGCTTCATTCAATCCCAAACTCATTTATTCCGAAACTCGCGCATGCTCACTGAAAATCAAATATGGAAAACTCTGTCTTTCTTGGTTGATCAACTCCCAGCCATTGATTGCCCAGCCAGCCAACCCCTTTGGATAGCAAGCAACCCACCCACCACTAAAGGCGAGGATCGCATGGAGATCGTCTCCCTAAAGTGGTAGCGAAACAAAAAGGAAAGGAATCTTTTGACCATTGCCCACCCCTGCCCCACAGAACCAACCCAGGGCAAATTCCATTTGATATGAAGCGCCAGCCCCGCCCGACCGCAGAAAAAAAAAGTATTGACCCCATTTCCATGCAATCATCAGAACACAAAAGTCGTGCCCGTCAAGTGTAGAGTGTTGTTTGTACGCCAGAATCTTGGGAACGTGGAGGGGAGAAGCAGCGCGGAGAAGACGAAAGCGAGGAAGTCCAGCCACCCAATCCATCTGCTCGCTATCGAAAAGACGAGGCGCGCCAAATAGTTGGACAAGAAGAATAGAAAGCAAAGGGTCCATGTCCATCATGCAAAAAAGGGCAAAAGAACAAAAAAAAAAAAAAAAAAAAAAAAAAACGAAGGTTTGTCGAGGGGGAGAGGTTGCTCATCGGATACCGGAATCCGTGGCCCAGTCGATCAAGTCGTGTCCACAGAAATCCTGACCATTGGAGATCCTGCATATCCTTGCCGAAGAGAAACGTCACCACCAACCATATCTCATCTCGTGGGTATTCTTCCAAACCAATAGCGCATAACCTTCATATCCCGTATTTTCCGTCCATGTTTTTCCGTGCTGCCACGTCTGATCCAGGCCCGCCAAAGCCGAAAACAACCTTTGCAGGGCCAGGTAACATGCCGAGGTGGTTGCCGTTGGAAGACGCCCCGGAAACAAATTGACTCCTTGCAGAGCCCCGTTGCCGAGCGATCTGAAAGCATTTACTCGTCAATCATCTTACGGGTTGAAACATGCTCTCAATCCAACCGAGCCATCATCTCCTCCTTGGCCATGGGTGTGAAGTTGTCGATGTCTAGGCCACGGGCCACCAAGCTGGCTCGAACGTGTTGCGGGACTAGCCGGCTGTTGAGCTGGGGGGCAATGGAGAGTTCTGACGTGCATGTTAGCTATGGTAGTCTCGTGGCCCGTGGGATTTGGGGCCTTACCGTGACGAGAGAAGTCGAACAGGGTGGGGAGATCCTTGACAGGGCCATTGGGATGACGCGAGTCGGGAAATCTGGTCGAGGGGTCTCGCAGCTCATCGAAGAACGGGTGAATCATGGCATCGATCGCCGAGAGACGCTCGGTCGGGGTGTATTCCAGGAGACGCGAGATGAGCTCAATGGCGTTGGATTCAGCCTTGCGGAAGACCTTGTTGAAGGGGTGCGGCTTGATCTGGGGGAATTTATGCTCCATATAGTTGGGGTTCATGGTGCGGATCTGATCGCGCGTCGGCGTCCCCAAGACCTTGATAATTTCCACGAGCTGATCGATACCCGACTCTCCTGGGAAGAGAGGTTGACCGAGCATCAACTCTGCCATGACGCACCCCGTGGACCAAACATCTGCTTCCAAGTTAGAATTGAAAGCCCATGGTGTGACCCCCGGTGCGGGGGCGGGGGAGGGGAGGGGGGGGGTGGGGCCCTACCAATCTTGGTGGTGTAATTGGTGGCGCCGAAAATCAACTCGGGGGCTCTGTAGTAGCGGGAGCAGATGTAGGAAACGTTGGGCTCGTTTTCCACCAAGATCTTTGCACTACCAAAGTCACACAGCTTCAGGATACCGGAGCCTGGATCCAACAGCAGGTTTTGTGGCTTGATGTCGCGGTGGCAGATTCCTTGCGAGTGGATGTAGGCGAGGGCGCGGAAGAGCTGGTAGATGTAGAGCTTGACTTCGAGGATCGGCATGGTGGTCTTCATCTTGTTGAAGTATCTCGAAGCACGGTAAACCGTCTCGGGAACATATTCTTGGACGAGGTTGAGATAGACCTCATCCTTCTACCCCAAGCATCATTAGTGATCCGACGTAGGACGACAGTATGGGTAGTTTGGATGGGGATGAGGGGGAAACGCACACGCTCGCCATTCGAGTAGTAGAAGGCCTTGAGTTCGACGATGTTGGGATGACGGACGATGCGCATAATTTGCAGCTCGCGGTTCTACATCATGCACGCCGGTCAGTACTGCAGCGATGGCCAGCCACACGGCACCCCCCCCCGATGGGAAGGAATCGATTGCGCACCTTGAATCGCTTGTCCTGGAGAACACGCTTGATGGCGGCATCCTCGCCCGAAGGTGAGAGCTTGGTCTGGAAGACGACGCCGAAAGAGCCATTGCCCACGATCTTGCACTGCGTATACTGCATATCTCGAGTCTCGCCGGTGACACCATCCTGGACCTTCTCGCGGACCACCTCTGGGAATCACGATGTTAGCAGGCGTTTGTCTTCCAGGGCAGAGCTGAGCTGAGCTGAGCTGAGCTTTCCGGCGTTGGTTATTCTTACCTCCCATCCTCAGACTCGAGAAGGCTGCCGGCCGATTCTGCGACATTTCGAGGTCCAAAATAAGGGGGTTATCGCGGGTGCGGAGAGGGCTGTCGATGTTGTCGATGGATCTCGCCGAGTCCGGTATGGAGGGAGCAATTGAGGGCAGCGTGTGAGTCTGATGATGGAGTTCGGTGCGTCGAGTGTCGAAGGTTGAGCGGAGCGGAGGAACGGGGCTGCGACGACTCTACTGGTGTGGTGTAGGGGAGTAGTGTGGTGTGGTGTGGTGTGGTGTGGTGTGGTGTGGATGAGGCAGTCAGGTAACGTGATTCGGTCCCACCAATGGTCGATCTGATCGGGTTCACAACGTCGTATATTGGTGCTTCTGTAACGGAACGGAGGAGTGGAGTGGCAGCCGAATTGCAGGTACTGAGTGAGGCTGAAGACGAGAGAGTAGTAGGGAGTCGAAAGGTGAATTGAATTGGAATGGGGGGGGGAAGACTAGGT